GAACCTCCCACCATCATGATAGAGTTGCTGGTCAGAGCGCAAAAACACATCAACGCTGAAGACACCATGAGTGCACAGAAGGAAGGAGAGGACAAGAAGAGGCCAGCCCCTCTCGCCAGGGATGAAAATAATACCAAATATAAGAAATCGTTCTTCAGCCAGAGTGACAGCACATATCATGAGAATGACTCAGATGAGTATACCGACTAGAAATTGTCTCGCAGCTGGAATTAGTCTTATCAAGTCATTCACAATAAAGACTGGGGGCATCTTAGTTAATCATTTTAAATGGAGGGTAGCTTCATCACGTGTTATTTTGTTTTTAATAATGATGGTTTTTAATAAAATTCCTTTTAGTTTATACGTGCAGTATCCCCGTACTATAAGGGATAGTAAATGAGTGTCATGTATTACAAGGACCCGGACTAAGTGAATCCCGTAATCCGTATCCCCGTACTATAAGGGATAGTAAATGAGTGTTCTGTATTACAAGGACTCGGGCTGAATGAATCCCGTAATCCGTATCTCCGTACTATAAGGGAATAGTAAATGAGTGTCCTGTATTACAAGGACTCGGGCTGAATGAATCCTGTCATCCATATCCCCGGACTATATCGGATAAGTATCCTGTATTATCAGGACCCGGGTTGAATGAATCCCGTAATCCATATCCCCGTAATATAAGGGATAATAAATGAATGTCTTGTATTACAAGGACCTGGGTTGGATGAATCCCGTAATTAATACCCCCTTACAATAAGGGATAGTAAATAAAAATCCTTTATTAAAGAGGTGAGCTGAGTAAAACTCAAAAAGTTCAATTCCCTTACTAAAGGGACGAGCTGAGTAAAATTCGTAAAGTTCAATTCCCTTATTAAGGAGTGAAACTCATATAATTTATTCCATTATCAAAGGAAGAGTACTGTTCCCTCGGGTGTAAAAAAAAAAAAAAAAATACTATTTATGAATAGTACCCGCGGGTACTGTTCCATCGGTATTAAAAAAATATATATATTCCCTGAGTTACTATTTATGTGAATAGTACCCACGGGTACTGTTCACCGGGGTTGAAAAAAAAAAAAAAATTATTATTATTATTTATTACATTCCCAAAGCTAGACGTGCAAGCTTGGGAATGGGGGCAACTGATAGGGAAAAATATAAACCTACCCTACCCTCGTTAAGATCGATTAGATTTCATTATCAAGGATAATGAAATCAAATCTGACGTGGTTCAACAGGTAAGAATAATCCTACTATAACTGGAGGAGGTAAAAAGGATTAAATCATATCCCGACAAATCTGGTAATAAATCTCCTATGATTTCGCCCAAGCGGAAGATAAGGTCAACCATCGACATCAGCGGAACGATTTTGATTCCAATCGACAGCCATAAATAGGGCATCAAACCATTAAAGAAGGTACGACGTAAAAACTATTATTAATCCCTGCCTTCTTTTTAGACCTCCGTGACTAATTTGATCATCGGAGAGCTCTTGGCAGGCACCACACCTGTGCCGTCAAGGTTCATCGATCTTCTCCTCTCTTCCTTGCAGGAAAACGGTATCGTATCGGACTGCGCGAATTTCAGCCTCAACAACGGTGAAATTCAAATATTAGACTTATGTCCTAATTCAGATAATCTGCATTGTTACTTTAACACCAAAATAAAAATAAATAAATAAATAAAACAAATTTTGATAAATCTTATGAAAAATCTGACCAACTTTAATGTAAAATCTGAAAATTGTAAAGAATAATTAATCGCGCCATTTTTTTTATGACTTCTATGACTAATTTTCTCCACCTTTAGTTTTTTTATTGACTTCTTCTTAAATTTAGGAATGATAATTTTATTTTGTAATAAGAGCTTGGTAAGTTAACAAAATTAAAAAATAAATCTTAAAAAAAGACCACTTGGTAAATTAAAACTTCTAACTCAATGTAATTATAGTTTTTCAAAAATTAATCAGAATACCAATTGTGTTGTTCTAGAAGAAAAAATACATAAATAAATAAAAATAAGCATGGGAACTACCTGAAGAAGCTACTGTAAACTGGCCCACCGTTGCTTAAGGGTTTGACATTTGACACGGTATTAACCATTTTAAAGTCAATGCTCCAGAACTCAAAGTTCTGTTCATCTCAGGCAGTTATGGAGTTGAATTTATGTGCTTTAGAAACATGAGCATCAGTTTGATGAACATTTCTGTTGATCTGCCTAAAGTCCATAAGGTGAGATATTTTTTGTGTTATTTGGTTTTGTTATGTGAGAACATGAATGGAAATGTGTATATATATATATATATACATATATATTCCTTTCTTGTTGAGAAAATCATTGTGTTAATTTCTTCTTGTTTTCTTCAAAGTTTTTGGGTGCGGTTCCAAGGAGGCTTCCAGCTACAACTAACCACTTGATATTTCTTCATTTTCTCGATTTGCAAAATTTAGAATTTAATAACGTGGATCAGATATCATGCACTCTTTGCTTGCTTATAAGTTTCCCTAATTTGACATGATTTGAAATACTTGTAAGACAGCTAAATCAAGATATATTTTATATATATTTGTTTTAAATACTTAAAATTTCAAAATAGGTCTTTGATTTGATGGTTTTTATAGTCTGTTGCAATAATTGGCCATCCGCTCCAACCGGATTTCCATTATCCGGAAGCACCAAACTCCATGGACATGACCCTGAATAAACTACAAACTGTATAGCTTCTACTGGCCTGTTCGCCTTCATTTCAAAAGTTGATTATTGAACGGAGTAAAACAAATGATTTAGGATTTCAAGACAACGAATGCAATTCTCTCAACCGACAAGAGCAGAATTGATTTACTTGATCCATGCCGGTAATTATAGTCAAAGTTGATCATCTCGTTTTCTCATTGGATATTTGATAAATTGCAACTCAAAATTGATTGATAATATTAACAATTCACCTAATTATTGAATGTATTCACAAATAATTTATTTTTATGTGATTCGTATTGGATCGAGTGAAATTGAATCAGGCCCGATATAAACTGATTTTTTATGGATCTAATTGGTTGACGGGTCAAAATAACATCGAGTGAAATTGAATGATGCCTGATTTTATATGGACAACAAGGTCTAATCTACCTAATCGGGTCCACCTTCAGGTAGGTCGCTTCAATGGCTGTGATCCATCTTCTGTGCGGCGGAGCCAGGACTTGCCCAGCCCCGCCCACCATGCGAATGGTAGTTTATTTATTTTTTATTATGTATATATATGAATTTTTTAGAATCATTATAGAAAAAAAATACCTGAAAGCTTCTTTAAAAAACAAATAGTAAAAGAAAAAGAAGCTTTCAGGTATTTTTTTTCAATTGAATTTAAACAATTCGTTTACTATTTGTTGTCCATGTCAATATAGTTTCACTTCCTCTTTTGGTTTTAGAGCATTTTTATTATTAATTGATTTCTTATTCTGTAGGTAAGTCACAGAGCGAGTGTGAGAGCGAGAGTCAGAGCGAGAAAACGTGAAAATCTAAAAAATTTTAGCGCGAGATATTAGGACATATATTTTATATATTTTTATTTATTTAAATTCACATGCAAATATATTTATTATTATTTATTTCATTAATGATATATGTAATAAATAAGCTAACTTTTCTCACTAATAGATGTGTAATTTATGTGTAAGAACAATACATCTTGGCTTATCAAAATCTTCATAAGGCATGCCAAGAAAATCATTCCATATTCTCATCTACACCATACTCAGTGCTGATATGGACAAATAATAAATGGACATATTCTATTTTAATTATCAAATCATAGATGGTAATCAAATCACCATCTTTGATTTGGTAAGTAGTTATCTACCCACTATATTGAATTTGATAATTAAAGATAACATGTCCATTTATTAGTAGTTTACATCAAGTAAGTATGGTGTAAATCTTCTTTAACTGTGAAGTTTTTTAGTGGTATCTTTTCAAACATACATAATTAATATATATATATATATACGTGGTAGTATAGCAATGTCATAATTAATGTATATATTGAATAATAGTATAAATTATAAATGCATATATGGTAATATAAGTATTTCATAAAGTGAATTCTTATGGAAATTACAAATTAGGAAAACAAATTCTTACAAAAATTGAATTCGCGGATTTTGTACGAATTCACTCCCAAATAACAAATTCGCGTGTAGAGCTTGAGAGCGTTGCCTCTTTGGACAAATTGTGTGACCAAGTTCTGTAGTCATTCTAAGGGACCAATAGGTTGATTTTTCTTAATAGTATTTATCCAGAGTTCGAGAAAGTACATAATATTTGGGGTATTACTCATGGTATGACTCGTGAAAAATGTGGAGCTTTCAAGAAAAAAAGTATAACCGTCCATTACCAGGGGTACCACATATTAAATAGTTCGAGGATAGTGTATATTTTCTCTAGGATCGCATGAAGAAACATATTCCAACTTGAGAAATTCTTAGCATCCATGTCAAACTCTTTTCCAATAATTTTGTCTCTCATATAGAACCAGAAGGATGGAGGAGAACAGTAATGTCTAAAGCAAAAAACGATGATCTGTTTATGCTGTAGATACACATTCAGTTTATATATTTGTACTACTGTATGTGTTTTTTTTTTTGCTTGGCTAAATTACATGTGTGGTTGCTGGTATACTATTTAATTTGTTCCTTCACCAAATATGAAGAGTCATATTTTGAGAGGACAAAAAAAAAAAAAATAATAAATAAATAAATAAATAAATAAATAACTCGTAAACTGCAAGAGTTCAAAACTTGTTGAAAGTATGTATATAACAATGAATTGAATTGTTGGGCTCCATTTAATGTTTATGAGTTCCATATTTTTTTCCTCATTGAATGTTGATGCATGTACATTTACCCAAAGTAAAAAAAAAAAATGCATGTATGTACGTAGGAATTTCATATCTATATAAATTTAATCAAGTCTTTTTGTTCTTTGAATTACCAGAACAACAATGAACTATAGTAACATAGGGGAGGAAGTACATAATGGGACAGAGGATATAATCAGTGACCTGCCCAGAAATGTAATAGACTCCATCCTCGAGTTCATGCCGATGCAAGATGCAGCAAGAACTAGTAACTTGTCCAGAAAGTGGAGGAATATTTGGTCTTCTCACCCAATACCTGTGCTCGATAAGGAGTTCTTTGTGAAGACCTTTGAAACCGAGAGAACCTATGAATTCGAGAAATTAATCAATAAACTACTCTTCAGTCACAATGGTCCCATTCTGAAATTCAGTCTCTACATTCCAGAAGAATATTTTGTTCAGACATTATTAATTGATCAATGGATGCCATTCTTGTCAAAGAATGGTATAAAGGAACTCTTTCTCGATAATCATGTAAATCGTATTACATAACAACTGCCTTCTTGTATTTCCTCCGGTAGAGAATTGAACCATTTGACGCTCTATAACGGCGCCTTCAAGCCGCAGCATCTTTCTGGAGGCTTTCGAAATCTCGTCAGCCTCAATCTAAAGGGAATCTTCTTTGATTCCAATTTTTTGGGAACTCCAGTTTTTAGTGCGCCGTTGCTGTATCGTTTGACAATTGACACCTGTAGTGATATTCACCTTTTTAAAGTCAATGCTCCAAGGCTCAAAGTTTTGTGTGTTACAGAGAGCACCTTAGAAGTATCAGTTTGATTAACTTTTCGGGTGATGTGCCTAGAGTTCAGAGTATATCTTTTGATGGCTTTCTCCTTAAGGTGATATATATCAAGTGTTTTATATATATATATATGGTTGAGTCATGTGAGAACATGAATATATGGAGATTATATCATTTCCTCTTTCTTATTCAGACAAACAGTGTCTTATTTTCATGTTTTGTTCGAAGTTTTTGGCGGCAGGTACTGTTCCAAGGAGGCTCCCAATTATAGCTAACCTTTTGACGTATCTTCTGCTGCAAAATTTAGAATTTAATGATGCGGATCAGTTATCATGCACTCTTTGCTTGCTTAGAAGTTCTCCTAATATGATGTGGCTTGATATATGTGTAAGACAAGTAAATCAAGATATATTGTTTTAAAATTTTAATATTTTCAATGTAAACTGGTTTTTGATTTCATGGTCTTTTATAGGCTGCTGCAACAGCTGACAATGCACTCAAAGCAGCTTTGCACTATCAGGAAACAGCAGATTCCATGGATGAGAGCCTGAGTAAACTTCGAATTGTTAGGATATTTTCTATCAAGGGATCGAGGTCTGAACTACTCTTTTATAAAGCGTGTACTTGCATGTTCCCCTTCGCTTGAAAAGTTGATCGTTGAGCGGAATAAGGAAGCTGATGCCGATGAAGAATTTAGGATTTCAAAACATTTGATGTGCTTCTCTCGAGCATCGTCAAAAGCAGAGCTGATATACTTGGATCCAAGCGAGTTAGTAAACTGAAAATATGTTTTTTTTTTTTTTTTTTCTTTTTCCCGGCCAATTATGACACAGTTCTTATTCATCCTAATCAAAGTACATTTGTGCTGAAGATTTGCTTTTAATTGTTTGAATTAGCCATTATGATATTATTAAATACCTTTTCCAGTCTAGTGGTCCTAGTAGAAAGTGAATGGAATGGAGGCTTGATAATAAAGACTGGATTTTATTATCTTTTAATGATCAAAATCAGCAAGTGTCATCTTGCATGAGTGGTTGGGTTGTTTTTCGTATTCAGAAGTCGATGCAATCATTACTCTCAGTAACGACCCAAAAAGATACCAAAATGATAATAATAAAATATATAAAATTTTGGCATGACCTCCACGGTCCCTCTACAACCTGTTGAAATAAATAAAAATGCAATGGTCTCACTAAGCCTTAAAACTAACCTATCATGTCCCAACGCATAATACAATTATTATATCACATTCCCAAAATGATTCCATTCATATAAAAAGTCTCGTTCCTCCATCTTAACCAAACAAGGAACCCACCTTAGTTACATCAAGTTACAGTCCATAAATATAGCTAAAATTTAAAAGTCCATAACTTATAACATTATACCAATCAAACTAAAGTTTCACAAAATAGTTAAGTTTACATTTACAAAATATTAGAGTTCTAATACAAAAGATAGCAAAATAAAATAAATCTTCAATCTCGTCTAAACTTGTGGTGGATCGTCATCCGCCACTTTTTTTCTATATTTTGAAAAATATTAAAAAAATAATGGGGTGAGCAAAACCACAGTAGGAAGTGTCTAAGACACACTTCTTATGACCCCGTGAATCCACGTATAGAATAGAAAACAAGGGAACGGGATTATACTATACCGGGGATGTATACCATAACCACAACATCCAATATAAACACATATGCCATCCAAGTCACAACACGCCCTGTATGTCAATAAAGTGTAATGTCATGCTCATGTCGCTCTACATTTCCGAAACATTTCCGTTTCAACATCCAAACTGTTAGTGTAATCCAACCCAAGGCACCTCCATGGTGTCACGAGGGAGGGGTTGGCTAGTTTTTTCTGACCACATGGCACCTCCATAGCGTCGTCTGGGTAGCTCAACCACACTAGAGTCTATCTCTAACCCCCTCTAGATCACACTAACACCACGGATCACTAGGCGCCTCCTAGGCGTCCGGGTTTTCGCAAACGCTTTTAGAAAACATTTTCCCAAAATTTAATTTCCTTTATTTTGAAAACACTTTTCCCATTTCTCTTTCCGATGGATGCAAAAATGCTCCATATTTCAAATCATCAATTCAATAATAAAATTTTCACACATACTGTCCAACATAATTTTCCAAAACACATAACTCATACTTTCAATCAACATCAATTTAACATGGTAAGCATTTAAAACATGAATTTAACTTCATATAGGTATATATAATCACTGCACAACAAGTAATAAGTAGTCATGTGTTCCATAACCAACATTTAAACTAGTTTTGCAAGAGATTATGCAAATTGAGCATGCTTAGCATAAAATTAACAAGAAAACTTACAAAAGCACAAGAATTTATGCATTAGAACACCCCTACCTCAAATTGTAGAAAAAACCTAAAAATAGGTCTCAAAACTCGAAATCCTAGGGGAAGCCAAAACTGAAATTGTTTTTACTCACACGTAGATCTCGCCGCGCTCTCCGTTTTGCCACAAACAGCTCCCAAAAACTCTAAGAAATAAGAGATTAATTAAAACTTTGATACAAAAAGAAAAAGAAAAATGAAGAACAAGAGAGGGAGAGAAAGGATTATGGGAGAGAGAGGATTTGTGAGGCCAATGGTGGCCTTTTGCCACTTAAAGTGGTGGTGGGCCCACCACCAAAACTAATTTATTTATTTTTTCTTTTATTTTCTTTTCCTTTTTAGCCCACACAATTATATATACATATTTAATAATTCACAACCACATAAATATAATAAATAAGATGCATAAGGTGCAAATGAACCTAACTAAAAATCCATGTACGTAACAATTCCAGTAGCGGGTCCCACACAGGACCTTCCAGCCAGAAAAATGAAAAAAAATGCAAAAATGTCAACCTTGGCATTTCAAAGAGTCCTGGACGCAATGAAATGTCCCAACCAACTCTCGGACATAACTGGCACACTCCGTGGTGTTCGGCACGCAAAATGAAAAAAGACGATAATGCCCTTGCATGAACAAAAAATTCCAAAAAAATGGAAAATGGCGAAATTCAGAAATATTACAATCTACCCTCCTTAAAAGATTTTGTATTCGAAATCTACTCTCCTTAAAGAAGGAAACCCACAGCCACACACCCTCCGAGAACACCTCACCAACCCTGAGACTAAGTACTCAACAACTTTGTTGTCTTTGACACCAAATGCTAATAGGCAATCACACACTATCGTCAAAAAAACCCAATGCTCACCACCCTATGAGGGTACTCATCACTCATAACATCAAAACACCAGACCTTCTGGTACACCCTACGTTATACCCGACTCAAAACGGACATCGGTCCACTCTGCACTGCTACACAAGACTTCGGAGCTCGAAAGAAGAACGGTCACAAGACCCCTAAATATGACAATATCCTATCTCAGCCCATCCTTTAAAAGACACACAAAATTCCAGACAAGGAACCCCATCTATCACACAATCAAGTTTAAACTCAAATTTACATGTCCCTGTCGGACCAAGCACTCGTTATCCACCGTATAGCTACACCACCGTACCATATGACAATCATTATACTAAACAACTTCAAGAAGACAAAATAACAGATTTCCCAATGACTACATAACCATGAGTCATCAAAACAATAAAACATAATATCCTGTATTCTGGACACAAATCCCCAAAACAAGATCCTCAATAATCAATGATTCTAGCACAAACCCTTTTATCGGGCACTTAGTCCTAACACACCCTGTCACCCGAGACAAACCATTGAAATCTATACTGTCACACTAACACAACATACAATGCTATGCTCTCACTATCCCTGACTAACCAAAACAATCATGGACCTTTGACCCGATATCGTGCTAAAGATGGACTGACTCAGGAGAAATGGTTGGCCAGGCCATTCTCATCATCGATTTGATCTCAACACAGACGTCATTCCTATCCTTAGGTTTAAACCTCATACACAACCCCATATAGTCCACAAAACAACCACAAGATCCACTCTTTAATCAATCCGTCGCTCTACATAACTTCAACAACTATACAATCACATACTAGCTCTAAAAATCCCAATCATGCCTTAATCACATAATCATAACAAGCTAAAAGCAATACGATACTAAATACCATAATCATCAACCAGCATAAAAGATCTTTAATTTCCTCATAACACCCATACCAGGTAAACAACTCATAACATTGCTCGATTTAATTCCTATCCTGTCAAAACACACAATGTGACTATCTCATGTTTGAAACCTCAAAACCAAAGTCAATCATTCCTATTGTTCTTCAATAGAATCCCATAATCACTCTCTAGCTGCATGACATTCAAATAATACTGACACCTATCCTCAAAACACTGCTCGAATCAAACACCTATAAAAACATCCAAATACATAACTCATATCAGATCACCTAATCATCCTCAATTTATCGTCCACGACACATTCCCTAGCCACCACCACTAGTACTAAACACCGAAAACATGATCCCTATTCGGTAACTCGTGCCTCACATTCCACCTGTCAAGACCACTCTCAAAACAAGCACTACAGAAACCAAAGACTTTGCCTCCTCTCATAGAAGTGAGTCGACCTATACAATCAAACCTTACCGGTGAACTCTAACAACATAACAAACCACACACGGCTCAGCCCATCCGCGGACCTGCACAATTCCTAAATGAAGAACAAGACTTATGACAACTAGTGTCTTTATCAGGACTAGAACAAACGGAAAGGATAATGAACCCCGCTCTCACAAGAGACTGACTACTCACACCTTAATGCACTAGATAACCTATCACACGTTACTCATCAATCATCCAACCGTGGACACCCAATCTCACTTGAGATGAACTGAACTCCTTACACACAAAGAGAAGAACCAAATAGATACTTGTACGGAACTACAAACTCAATCCTAGGCAACCTCTCCACTTATGGACCGTCATACACTATCAACATAGAAACCTCGCACACGATACCCCGCAACACCCATGCTAACCAAAACCAATCAGATCCTTACTACCCATTCGTCGAGTACTAAGATATAACTCATAATACAACCATCAGACAAGAGCATCAATGGTCACAACATATTAAAACTAGAAATGATCACAACCTATCGGACACCGCATCCCGTCACTCCCAAATGACAACCCCTATGCCATAAAATGACACTTTACCACCCGTTCTATCACTACCTTCCCAGACGATACTGCCTCGATCACCGTGCACACCCGACTCGTGACCTTAGTCACAACAACCTGCTGACTTTTCAAAAGAAAAAGATGCCTATATGGCAACACCGCTCTCACTAGCTCTAAAGGCTAAGTTGACCACAATTGCCTCAATTGGCATATAATCTCATCACTCTCTTGACAACATACAACAACACTTACAATCCTAATCCACATTCGGATCATTCTTCAAATTGTCCAGTTCATCAACACTAAACATTACACCATTCTAAATAACAATTCAACCCTTTCATCCCATCGAACCATCAAACCACTACTAAGCGATTCTTCCTCAAACATCTTTAAGACAACACTATCATAATAAGAGAATAAGAATCATTCTCGACAGTTCTCCACAATGGCCGCTACTTATCACTAGAAAATAACCTCTGCATGGTAATGCCATGCCGACAAATCCCAAAGGAAAATGAGTGCAAAAACTAGAATACTCAACATCTAACAGTCTCCTCAAACCATCTATAATACAATGAGTCACTAACACTTGATCGGTTACTCCGACCATTCTTCCTAAGACAACCT